GAGATGAAACACAGGCAGCAGGGGTTTGGCTGAATGTCGGGGATCAGTGAGGAGGTAAAAATGGCAGCTGGTGAGCTGAGGGAGGGGCAAAAGTTGAGCGATCTTACCGAGGTACCAATTAGCGGTCTCAGTGACACCGTGAATATACGATGTCGGAAGCATATCTCAGGATCGATATGGCACTAAGATTGGGAACGGACTAGCTAAATCTCAGACTGTTGCCATGGTGACGGATGGAGTCCGAAGCCAAGGAATGGAGGGGGGTGGTAGGCAGGGGCGAGAAAAATAGTTTCCGTCGTCCCAGTGTTTAATGGCGAGGCACTTCTCAGGCGAATAGATGTTAAGTTCTGCGCAATGCTAATAACGATAGTGGGTTAAAGCTGCTTACCAGTTTGAGTGGATTGATAGCAGGGGCAGGAGAGCACTGTGTATTCTCATCCCCTTCAAATTCGATCTTCATCGGGTATAACAGCCATTTGCCATTGCTGATCTCATAGGGCCACCGGATGTTCAGGAAAGCAGAGCTAAAAGTTTTCAGGACCTTACCAGTGTTCAGCACCTGACGGAGAGAGAAGATGGGGATTGAGCTTGGGCATGCCACGGACTGTGTTCGGAAACCTTCTCCCCATGTTACTGCACAACAGACAGGCCCAAGGAGACGCTAGTTTCATTCCCTATTACAAGCCACCTTTCGAAAGCAAAAGCCACATTCGCCCTATCTCTGTTTCTCATTACAACTTTAGCGTGGCACGAAGGTGGTCAGTGCGTCAACAGCTGTTGGCTTGAAGGGGCCCAGGCTCTAGAGGAGTGGCACAGAGATCAGAGTCTCAAAATTGTCGTAAGGCAATCAATCAACATAATACACTGAAATATATCGCCGTTCCTTCACTATCACTGGGTCAAAATCCTGGAATTCCCTCCCTAAAGGACATTGTGGGTCAACCAACAGCACATGGACTGCAGCGATTCAAGAAGGCAGCTCACCCCCACCTTCTCAAGGGGGCAACTAGGGACGGAGCAATAAATGCTGGGCCCAGCCAGTGACGCCCACATCCCCTGAATAAATAATTTTAAAGAGGTCCCTCCTAAGAATGATTGAGAATCCAAATTTTATGTACAATCCCAAGGCACACAAGACTAAACTCACCATGAACACTGTTGAAGGTCTGTGGATCAGAGACAGGCTCTCAGGCTAACAGCTATATCTCCAAAATACTCTTCGAGAGCAACTTTCTCTTATGCTGGGAGTATAGGATCAGCTTATAGGATCCCAATGGTCACAAACCACTTTCTGGTTTCTAGAATCCCAAATGGCCCAAGCATTTCCAATGCACTCCTTTATAAAGAGCCCAGGGATATAAGCCCATCCCTATTCCTTAGATGTTCCCTATGCCTATTCCAATAGATCGCAATGCACCAAAATCCCTTCCTATTCGTTTTCCATGGTAAGCTTCAATCTTCAATGAGTAATTAGTGAAGATCTTGTACTTGCCGTTAGTTTATAATCAACGCGACTGCCCACATCCTCTTCTTTCCTCATGGCACTTTCTCCCATTACGTTACCTCCAAAAAACACATTTTGCGGTTCAACGTTTCTGTGAAATGTGGGAAGAAAACACACCAGCATGAAACAACATTCGCCGGTTACACAACTCATCTGCTCACCGCCTACAAACAAATAAACCTTGCAAGAATAGTGGATGGGACCGGGAATCAGGGAGATGGACAGCGATCGCAGGACAATGGAGCACTCTGCTTGTGGGTACCTGATGTTGGTGATGCCAGTTCATACTGGGCAAATGGCAAGAGGCACAATCCATAAGACCCTAAGACATAGGAGCAAAAATTAGGCCATTCGGTCCATCGAGTCTGCTCCACCATTCAATCATGGCTGATAAGTTCCTCAACCCCATTCTCCCGCTTTCTCCCCGTAACCCTTAATCCTCTTGACAATCAAGAGCCTATCTATCTCAGTCTTAAATGTACTCAATGACCTGGCCCCCACAGCCTTCTGTGGCAGTGAATTCCACAGATTCACCACTCTCTGGCCGATGGAGTTTCTCCTTATCTCCGTTCTAAA